TATGCTCCTTTTGTTATAGTTTGACGGTAAGTAGCATCTTTTCGGTAGATACTGATGTTGTTGACCTTGGATTTCTTGACAAGGTCCTTTTAGGTTCAATGGGAGCTTTATCTTTGATGACTATCTTATCGGTTGTTATTGGGAAGATATTTCAATCCGTGCCTGCTCAGTTCCAGACGAGTAAGCTATCCAAGGCTTCTTCATCTTAAAGCTGTTAACTTTGCTCCGAAGAACAAATCATTTTTATGAAAATATATGATGATGGGATGCTTCTGTCTCCTTGAACAGCACTGCCTATAGGAGAATATGCTGCAATTGCGCTTCTCATGTTCTTTGGATTGAAATCCATTAAGGATGCATGGGATATTCCACAAGCTGAAGCCAAGACTGGTGAGGAAAGCGGTAAAGAACTTGGTGAATACACTGAAGCAGAGGAACTCGTGAAAGAAAAGGCGTCCAAAAAAATCACAAACCCACTTGAAATCCTCTGGAAATCATTCAGCCTCGTGTTCTTTGCGGTAAGAAAGAAGAACCTGTTTGCATTTTTAAATAACTTTAATTAACCGTCCACATTATGACAATTGGCGGTTCTTTGATCTAATCAGGAATGGGGAGATCGGTCAATGCTTGCAACGGTTGCACTCGGTGCTGCACAGGTATGATCCAGCACCATTCCACAATACCACAAGCTTTTAGCTCACTAAACCTTAAACATCCTTTTTCAAATCTGTCTTTCAGTCTCCATGGGGAGTTGCGAGCGGAGCTATTGCTGGACACTTAGTAGCAACATTGCTTGCAATCATGGGCGGCGCATTCCTCGCGAACTATATCTCTGAGAAACTAGTACGAGCAAATGCTTAGACAAGTACATTCACAGAACCAAATTGCTCACAAACTGATGAAAATTTTGGTGGCTTTTTGTATGCAGGTGGGCTATGTTGGTGGAGCTCTCTTCTTAGTTTTTGCCGCAGCGACATTCTTCGGAGTGTTCTGAGTAAATCCTTCCAGTATTCTCGTTCTCATTAAAGCATGAGAACACCAAAACTTGTTATTTCATTGTTGGTTTCCAATTTCAATATATGTACCAGAATAGCTTTCAATAGTTAATTATAGGATGTTTGTTGTATGAAATGATATAATAAAATGCAAGGCTTCTTGTTGTCATAATTATGTGCGAGGTTCACAAGTGGGAAACATTCTCATTTTAACAATGGTATCACACATTTCAGATACATTCTGATTCACAAAGTTTTGAACATAACTCTTAGTATTTCAGATGGACAATGATCCTCAACAGCATCTCGGCTCCATCAACAAAGTGTTGCCCCGCAGGAATCAACGGTCTAACCTCTGCAAATCCGCAAGCGTTCTTAAACCTTCCAGTTCCTCCAGTCACAGACAGATGCGACATAGCGCTTCCAATCCTATATATTCCATAGAAATTGAGATTGTCATTGTACTCTCCACCTTCAAGCATAGCTGTGAAAGCCATCATCTGCGTGCTTCCATCTGCTGAGCTTGCAACATAAACCCCCTGAGCTTTACCAAGTGGCTGCGAACCCAAGTCAGGACCGGATGTGATTATGTCATCAATCACCGTGATCGTTCCAAAACCAAGACTCAAACCATCAGGACCCAACTGTGTCTGAATCCCATTTAGATTCTGACCAGAAAACGCTGTACCGGACAAACCAGTACCTAGAGGAATTCCGTTGATACCATTAACTGTTGGCATTGCGCCGTTTGCATTGGGTATGGCTACACCGTTTTCGGGTGGAACGAAACCGATCTGCTTAGCAAACGGTACCTGTCCGTTGTAGATGTTTCCAAGCAAACCGGTAATTGGTCTTGCTGTTGGACTGCTTCCGCCGAGTATATCGTGCATATAAAATTCAAAAATCGGGTCTTCGGGTGCGGGATCAAGCGCGGTTGTTGCAGTAAAAAGAGCAACTATGAGAAAGATTGATGTTAAAACAGAGAATAGTGAATGTTTGGTCATTCTGGAGGATGCTTTTACTAGGGATGATTCTTGGTTTTCTTTTTGGAGGAAAGATTTGAGATATTTGAGATTTTAATGAATTGATGTATAAATAAGGAGGAAAGTGATTGTGAAGTTGTTGCATTTTGAGGATTGTGAAGCAGTTGAAATGGGGAGGTTATTATAGCTCTTATGTTTTCCTCTTTGGGTTCAACAAATGGTTATATTATATAATCAGTATTTTATATAAATGTTTCAGATGTGAATCCAATTAGGGTGGTTTAGGTTTTGACATAACTTTTTTGATTACTTTATGAGCAAGGAAGGCAATGAGGCTGCCAAATCTTTTTTTTTTTTTAAATAAAAAAACATATATGTAATTAATAATTATATACATATTTATGCAACCTTCGGGCACTAACATTTGAAGGACAAAGTTTGATTTTAAACATTTTAAATAGGATTGAATTCGATAGACCCCTCAAGAATCATTACAGATTATTACAGGTTTGTTTCAGGTATAAACTGAACAACAATAATAAAAATTCGATGAAAATACGACTATTCAAACAAACAAAAAAATCATATTATCGAAGATGACTTCATTAAATTAAGCAAACAAAAACCCAAGCAAAATAGAAGAGCTGCAAGAAATTACTTTCTTATTTTCCTACACACAAGCTTCATAACTTTTTTTTTAAAATGTCTCTTCTCCCTTACGGAATTTGAACAAGACTTGGAACGTAATTGAATATAGTTGGCGACCACCACAGTTGTTTTGTAGATTATGCGTAAGGGATTTGTGTGTAATGTTCATCTTCTTCTCCAACAATGTATACATTGTAAACCTAAAGAATGTAAGTATTGGATTCCAAGGAAACAGTTATTTCTTTTAGGATTAGCTACAGAAATCAATCATTGCAAGAAAATTGTCTTCTTTTTTGTTTTCATCATCTAGGTCGAGGATACTCGTGCATAATATATCCAAATACGTGAAAGAGGATCGACTTCGATATGTGTTTTCACAGAAAGGAGAAATCACGGCGCTATTCACGATGTTTGGCAAGAAATGGATCGTTGCTCCGACGTTCCTTCTCGCTTGTTTACCGGCGATGCTGTTTATTCTTCTTCAGTATCCTTGAAAGAGGAGTCTTTGAAGCATCAGATATGAGCTGTTGGAGCACATGCGGTTAAGGTGACATGGTTAAGTAGAGGATGATGTGGCATGAAGTTTTTATTCAAATATGTGAAGAGAAGAATTTGGAAGAAACGTTAATTAGAAGATGACGTGGCATATGAGNTTAATGGAAGATAAGCTCAAATATGGAAAGTGGAGATTTGGTGAATATACGAGAGGTGCTCGTATCAAGGACCGAGAAGATTCTTCTTACTCAACGAATATAAAAAGAGTAGAGGGGAATGCTTGGAGGTTAGCCGTTGATGTGAGAAGAATAGGATCGTCGCATCTATTCTTATTGAGAGAGACGTGGGAGCTCTTGGAAACGGG